GTTTGTCCCTGTCAAAACTGCATTTTCTTAGATGTGATATAACCCATTTCTATTGTGCATGGAGAAATGGCTATATGCAAATATAGTCACATACATTTGATATATTTGCATATATCATATTACACATTTAATTTAAAAACTTAATTGATGTCCTGATATCTGTTATATTATCCATATCTTCATATATAGTACATATATATACATATATATGAAGAGAAACTGACACTTTTGTGGGTGGATTGTATTGTCTTTCAAAAATGCTCAAGTGATGGATAATTACTTTTTTAAAATCCATTTGCTACCAAGTAAGGAGCAAATATGTGAATTATTTAGCTAAGTGTGCTTCTATACAAAGTTGTACCAGATGACTATGACCACATAATAATTACCAAGAAGTGGCTATGAGCCCAGGCTTTGGAGTCAGACAAAGGTAAGTTTAAATTCTGGCTATATACATTCTAGATGGGCACCAGGCAAAACCAGTTAACTCCTCTAAACACTATTTTCCCAAATACTCAAAGGAAATCCCAGTCCTTACTGCATGTGGTAAGAATAAATGTGTGTGGGAAACTACTATGCACAAGCACTGAGACACAGAATATGCTGAATAAATGGCAGCTATCATTACAGGCAGATAATTCCTGGAACAACTGAACAATCTCAGTCTGCTGTGTTCTGTGGAGGCAGAGCTTTGTTGGTCAAAGGAGGGACAGATCTGTGATGGACAGCTGAGAAGAATGCAGAGAAAGCGGGAAGAGAAATGCCACACAGTGCTGGTGCAGAGTAGCTTCAACCGAAGAACTCAGCTCAGTCCTGAACCTGGTGCTGGCCAGCTGTATGGCACTGACACACCATCTCCTGTCTCTGTAATGCATTGAAAGGTCTTGTAGAGAACCAGTGAATACTGAAATAGAGTGAGGCTGTTGTTAAAGGAAGATTTGAAGAATTCGGCAGGAGTAGTAACAGACCGTCTAGCCTGAGAGGTAAAGGAAATGGTCCTCGTTCGCACATTGTCCTTCATAAACCACGTGCAGAAAAAAAATCCCAACGCACTTCAGATCTACCGTAAAAAGCAATCAGATGCCACATGCTGCTCCCGGCCTAGACACCGGGAAGTCCCAGGCGAGCAAGAAAACAAGGCAAAGGGAAGTTGTTCTTTGAATCTTACAAAGTGCCACCGCAAGCCTCGTCTCCTCTGGCTGGAGTGCAGGCTGCCTTACAGCCTTCATATTTTAATGCCCCTGACATCCGGAATCCTAAAAGTCTAATGTTGAACCATAAATATCTTCTGAGATTAAAGAGCTATATACCAAGCTTCAATCTTGGGGGCCTATAATTGCTTGGGAAAAGAGAACAGCATTTCCCCCTCTAGCTAGAAGAAAAAGACCTCTGCCAGCGCGGATATTGGCAGACCAAATTTCTGTCGACCATTTCCTTTCTCCAGGTCTCTCCTCTTGCTTCCACCCTCCCTCTTCATTCTCTCATTTTATAATACCATTTTGCTGTCACTCTCAGGACAAATGGGAGGAAAGAGGCGCTCAGACAGCGCGTGGAGGAAATGCTCACCGCTGCTCGCCTGTGAAATGCAGAGCGGCCCGGGACTGTGCAGGTGCACACCACTTCATCACTCCGGCGATGACAGTCAAATGCCAACCTTATTTTCTTTTATTTTTTATCAACCTAATCTTTTCTGTTTTATTTGAGGCGAGTCACTTTTAAGAGCTCTACAGTGGTTTATAACATTCCTTCTTGGCAGGGGCTCAAGAGGCGGCTCTACACTCTGAAAGTATGTCTCCCTCACTCCTGGGAGCGGCTGGGAGAGTGTCACCGGCCGGGAAAGCCCTCCTTCGCCAGGTCTCAAGGTCACCCCATGCTGAATAACACCGAGGAGACTGGGAAAGGCTCATCAGGAATTTAGCTTCGTGGTATACTGTTTCAATGTGGAATTTTAAAACTCAATACCTGGGCTGGGAAGGTGGCTCAGTGGTAGAGTGCTTGCCTTGCATGCACAAGGCCCTGGGTTCAATTCTTCAGTGCCACATAAGCAGAAAAAAAAAGAGCCAGAAGTGGTGCTGTGGCTCAAGTGGTAAAGCGCTAGCCTTGAGCTAAAGAGCTGAGGGACAGTGCCCAGGCCCAGAGTTCAAGCCCCATAACTGACAAAATAAACACATACATACATACATACATACATACAAACTTAATACCAACCTCCTTTACATTCACTGGCATATTTCTTATGAAAGTGGCATTTTGAGGTCATTTGACAAAATTTTCTGTCTATTGAAGACTCATACTTCCACGCTAAATGATATATGTGGAAAAACTAAAGCTTGGAATGCTCTTTCATTCAGAGTCTTAATTTAAGTCACAAATATTCCTGTATCTTTGTAGTGGTATTTTCACATTCAGAAACACAAGGGTGTTTATCTCTGCTATATTTGACAAAGAGGCTAATTCTTGATTATTCATAAGAAATTGAAATAGTCCACTTTTTAAATTACAAAATAAAATAAATGCCTTGGGCTGGGAAGGTATCTCAGTGGTAGAGTGCTTGCCTCACGTGCATGAGGCCCTGGGTTCGATTCCTCAGCACCACATAAGCAGAAAAAAGCTGGAAGTGGAGCTGTGGCTCAAGTGGTAGAGTGCTAGCCTTGAGCTGAAGAGCTGAGGGACAGCACCCAGGCCCAGAGTTCAGGCCCCACGACTGACAAGAGAAAAAAGAAAGAAAATCACCACCTTCTGCACTTAGCATACAAACAATATGCCAGGTACTGCTAGCTTCCACTTTGGCTTCTTCCCAGTTCCTTTGGCATGGCTGGAAAATCATAGAATTCCTTCATAACAGGAGCACTGTGGTTCCTCCCAGTCCTCTCCACCAGAGCAAACCAGATGAGAGGAGGCTGTCCATCGTTAGCTGGGGACAGACAAGAAACGGGCAAGAAGCCAGAATGGAAACCCTTGGCATGTGTGTCCTAAGTAGTAACGGCAAGACTTCCTTATTTCCTAAATGATTTTGGATGTTTAGAACATCAGATGCCTCCATAAGTCAAACAGAGTCCTTTCTAGAACAGGATATAAACAGTTCTCAGAGGATCACCTGCTTTGGGATTCACAGTCCTGCACTCTATTCAAAGTTGTCCACAAATGCAAACCCAGAGATAAGTATAAAACAAATTAACAGCTCTTTCCTCCCCTGGCTACACACCCTGCACCACGCAGATAGCGAAATCCACTGGCACGGGGCTCATTTGCCAAGCCACCTACTTGGTGTCTGCTCCTGATATCAGGGTTTTTGACAATATGCCGGAAACCGTGGATATGGGATTGAGGGGAAGGGCGTGTGGATGTGTGGATGAATTTATATGTGCAAATAAAATCTGTTAGGTTCCAAATTAAAAATCAACCTCAAAGGCAATGAACTTCAAATGGCTTGGAGAGACGTGCTAATAAAACAGACAACGGACACGCAGGTATGCCGGAGAGGGGGACAGACAAACATGACTGTGGGGGAGTGGTCTCCATTTCCATCCCAGCTGCTCTGCCGCTGTGTAAAGCTGCACTTTACACAGGCCACGGGAAAGTGCAGAGGGCATTCATTGTCTTCAGGCTGAATCTGTGCTTCCCTCCTCCACCAGCCCGGGGACGGAGCTGGAGAGCGGCTGAGCAAGAATGGCTTTTAAAAGAAAAGAAAGAAAGAAAGAATCCTTCCTCAGAAGGAGGAAGTTGCTCCCACTTTGGAAGTCAAAGGAAAAGCTGCTGGTCCTGTGAGCAAGCGGAAGACACCATTTCCCATGTGCGGCCTGACCACTCTAAGAGGCCCTGAGATGCATTGTTGGTGCAGTAAACAGCAGAGTCCTTCCAAGGAACACCTACAGCAACCTCATGGGAAATACTGCACAGCTTTAAAGCATGAGGAGTCGGGGGCAGTCCATGAAGAACAGCTTCATCTACCCCCCCCTCCCCGCTGTCCCCCATGCTCATAGCGGCTCGTCCCCAGCCTCCAGTCAGTGGAGTGCATTCATTCATCCACATGACACAATGCCCCAGGTTTGACCACTGATGCCTGTTGTACAGTCGGGGCAGAAAGCTGTGCACAGCCACACAGACCAGCACTACTATCGGCAGCAAGAACATGATTTTTTTTTTGCCAGAACAACATATCAGGATACAAGGAGAGCAACTATCAGACAGTTCTTCCAAAGAACGTGGTGATGTGAACTCAGAGCCTTCGAGTGAGATTTTGGAGGTTTTCTTTGTGACAGATGACTTGACTGCCACATTTGTAAGTGTCAGACCAAAGCCTGCTGCTACAGAAATCAATGACCTGGGCAGGCCAAGGAGGCTGGGTCAGGAAGATCAAGATTTTGAGGTTGGCCTGGGCTGCGCAATGAGATGCAGGCCGGCTTGGACAAAGCACATCGTTAGACGCCGTCACAAAAACAACAAAAAATGAGCAGACACACAAACAAACTATTACCTCATTTTGGCCACAGGAAAGAGCAGGAGAAAATTCCAACCATCATCAAGGGTGCATTCTAATGGGACAAAGAGGGTGTGGCAGGTGAGCAACTGCTTTGGGTAAGGAAGGGGATCTCTGGCCGAAGTGAGGCTGGAGAACATGGACAGCGACAGGGAGGCCCAGCGCCTCTGAAGAGCTCGCTCTCAGAGCAACGAAGTGTCACAGTGACTCACTATGCCCTAACGTAGATGCAGGCGGCCTGTACAAACTGTATCAGTCTTGTCTTGATGTCTCTCAAGGATCAGCATTCCTGTGGTGTGTTCATGGTGGAGCCTGTGTGATCTGAACAGACTCCAACTTTAAACTCAGTTCCTGTCATTGTATTTTGTTCCCAGATAACATAGCCAAAGCAGGCCCTTCACACACACTCTCTCTCCTCGCTCTCTCTCTCTCTCTTTCTCTCTCACACTCTCTCACATACACACACACACACACACACACACACAGAGTTTGGACCACGAGAAGTATGTTCAGATCTGACCTGTATCAAAGAAGGATCCGGTCCATTCTGCCTCGATTTTAGGGAACACAGAAACTGGGGGTGGTAAGCCCAGGGTCTTCCCATCCAGATCCTTGAAGAGATATTTTTTTGGATTTTCACAGTTTGAGTCAGGACAGATCACTCTTTCTAAATCTTTCCTGTAAAGAAAGGAAGCAACACTTTTATGCCATGACATGAAAGGAAGATACTTGTTACAACGATCTGATAGAGTGTACATCCAACAGAAGTTCAGTGTCAACGGGGTGCTAGATATGAAATGAAGCTCTATAGAAAGCATTATTTTCCAGCTAGTGGTCAAGAGGAAGACAACCGAGTTAACCAAATATATCTAATCTTCACAGATTACTGATTTTCTAAGAAGCGAGACACAATAAAATATATCTAACTCTAAAATGTTCTGAACACAATATAAGAACTTCTTGATAGAACTTTGGCAGTATTTTATGATCACCACCATAAATACTAATGATACCACATGAAAACCAAGGAAAAGCAGATATTTAACAATTACTTAGGTTGGAAAAAACAAACTCTAGAAATATATCATAGATTATAGATTATGGCATTTTGTTACATGCATATAAACTGTCTAAGACCGATAGCTTTTCAACTACTTTAGTTCATAAGGAAGACGTGGACAAAAGGAAACTTTGACAGAAAGAAAAAGAATAGAACAAAACAATTGCATGCTTGTGTTTGGCACCTGAAATGGTTCCAGAAATGGCACCAAAAAGGAACTATCGAGAGGCCCAACACATGCTTTTTAACGAAGGTGGGAATCTTTAACCCTGATTCCAATGAATGGAGTTTTTCCCCAATGTTGGGAGAAGGAAGATATAACTCGCTACCTTATTCCTCCTTCTCCTACCCTTTCTTAAGGCAAAAAGATTCCATCTCTGGTTTTCAGGTCTTTAATGAAACTCTCAGATCATTTGTCCACGAATGGCAGTTGGCCTGTCTGAAGGTTGATACTCCTGGTCTACCCTCCTTGATGAATTCAGGGCTGCCTGGCAGTGGGCAGAATGCCCTTCTATCGCCCCACTCTACAGGAAGACACCCAAGCCTTCTGAAGACCACTGACCCTGTATTCCAGGCAGAATTAGGTCCAAGTTTTTAATCATGATTTTGAAAATACCCCCGCAAAGTCTTTTCAATTCACACAATACAATAAAAAGATAGAAGCATTCATATTCTCATCTCAACCCTTTTCTTAGCCAAAGAATATGAGATGCCTGAGTCCAGACTCAAGAGGGATAAAAAAAATAACATCTTCCTCTTTGTGAGAGGGGTTTCAAATATCTTATTTCATAGAAGACACTTGGCATGAATACAGGACCGATAAAGCTGAGTGGCATAAAATCGGTGGGCCATCACACTCCCGGAGGACTGGTGATTTGATGGTTTTATTATTTCATAAGTGCGAGGGATTTGAGAAATTTCCAACTCCTTCAGAAACATGGCACAGTGCCAACACTAACAGCAGTACCTGGGAATCACTGGAGAAAAGCAGAACTTATTCCTGTCCTTCATCTTTAGCATCCGGGTTCGCTCTGCTGTTATTGGGGGCACCATCCCAGTGTTCTCGGCATTGGGAAGAATGCAGACGTCCAGATCATCACCATGGCAGCTTCTCACAAAATTAGAGAAGGTGACATCTAAAATTTAAAAATTAAATAAAACCCTTATCATGTGATGTAAACCACCAACACAAATACAGATATCACGACTGAATATTCCTGCAAGAGTGAATTCTAGAGACAGTTAATCTACCCAGGATAGTCTCAGCAGTTTGTGTAATCCTAGATATAAGACAGCTGTACAATGCATGGACTATTGTATGCAAAAAAAAAAAAAAACAAACAAAAGAAGAAGACGATTCTGCCACATTAAAGGCTTTTAGACATTTTTCATCAGAGGTTTGATCAAAATTCATTCATGTTATAGAAAAACAAAGCAGCGGCCTGCTGGATAGACCAAGGAAGCAGCAAAATTAGTGCAACAGTGCAAAACCACACTGGTAGAAGGAAAATTACACAAGCAGAGGTAAAGCTTGAGCACTACCAAACAACTAAGTGTTCTCAGACACAGCACGGACTCTGCCTCTGTTTCCTGATTGTTTAAAACAGTCGTTCCTTCCTAATTGCTTTAACACAACTCCTGAGGGACTTGTCCCAGGATCCACTTCAACAATCACGATGGATCTTTCCAGCAACACAATGCTGAGACTGACGGTAAACGTTATCGCTATAAACCTGCCTTGCATCCATCCAAAACCGTGAGCTGGTTCCCTGAGCCGCAGCCTCTTCCTGACGGCCTTTCAGAATGCTCCCGAGAACTCTCTAAGTGGAATGAGAGACCCCCGGGCCTAGCCAGGGCCCCACATTTTACCTTGAAGTTTCATGATTCCCGCAACCACCTGGCCACTCCTGACTCTGTGCCACGGCTCCTGAGGCCACTGGTTCGGTTCTGCGGTGAACGCGGGCCACAGAATACCAACCCGGCCTCCTCTCGGGTTGGAAGGCGGCCGCTCCGGTGACGTGGAGTTGGCCGAGCGAGGCTCCATCCTGTCCCAAATGCAGTCGAAAGAGGAGCTGGTGGCCACAATGGTGGAATTCTTGACAACAATCTGCACGTGTTTGATGGAGCTCAACGAGGCGGAAGACACATACACCACGGCCAGAAGCCCCACAGTATTGTCTACCAGGCTGAGGTTCTGTATCACCACACTGTTTTCTGCATGCACCATAGCACCGTAGTCAAAATTCTTGAAAGCCAGGAAGCCAGAGATGCCGGTGCAGCCCTCGTGGGTGCCGTCCTTGTAGAGATGAAGGCCATGGAGGCTGGAATGGGCCACGTTGTCGGACCAGAGCACCCGAGGGGAGCATCCGTGGCCTCCTATGTGGAAGCCGAGTCTCTCAGATCCTGCCACAATGTTGCCACGGAGGCTGGCGCCCGGGGCCCTGTTCACTTTGATCCCTGCCACCCACGGGGTGGACCACGCTGGCTGTGTCACCAGGACGACGAGGTTGCCCAGGAGAGAATAGGCCTGGCCTTCCAAATCAATGCCGTGGCCGACTGTGCCAAACACTACATTGTCCTTTAAGACGAGCCCAGGACTGGCAGATGCGCGCACGCCCCCACCGCAGCTTCGGTGAAGAACGGAAGACATCATCCAGGAGCCTCCTGATGCAGTCAAGAATTCGATGGATGAGGACGATGGTGATCCCAAGTTCTGAATTTCCACATTCAGAAGCTGCAGCGTACCTACAAACAAAATGCAGGCCATCAGACCCTTTCTTCTTCCCCCCTATAAATGCAGGACCCGCCACGGCATGAGAATGTGCAGATTTTTTATTAAAATGTGAGAGCTCCTACTCAACACCAGCTTCAGATTTTGCAACAAGATAGGCATCCCACAAGCAGCAAGCTATGAATCATTGGAAATATCACACTCATGCCTAAAACGCCTTTGTGTCTAGTCTGAAGAGAGTACGTGCTGTATAAGATGAGGAGAGACGGGACGGAGGTCTGGGGAAAGAGAGCAGCTTTGCATTAGGGCAATGGCAGCGTCTGCCTTGGTCTGGGAGTGTGGCCTATCACTTGGCTAAGAAGAGAGGGAATGTGGCTTCCTGGGTCACCCCGCCCCTCCCCATCTCAGGGACCATGATTAAAAGGCCATAACCATCTCTACAGAGGCACCGTGTTCATGGATAAAGTGGATGGCCGCGTGAAGCCCTGCAGACATTTCCTAAGAAGAGCGCCAATGAAAACGTCAATCCTGCCCAGTCAGCGTCCAGAGGGGAAAACCTTCGGGTGCTTCTTGATGGAGATCAAAAGCATAACGCACTTTGAGATCCTTTTAGAAGGCTGAAACGTGGGAAGTCGTCCCTGAATGTTTATTCTAGCTATGTTATACTCTCCCTGATTTTACCTCTCAAAACTGAAAAGACTTTCTATACCTTTTATATCGGAGGAGGAGAGCGAATCATTTCGTCTCATTCAGAACTCTATTTGTGCTGTTTGAAGTAGATGTTGTTTGAGTAATACACCTTACCAACAGCCTGCCACTCCGAGGTCTGCCACAGAGCACCAAACTCAAAGGCACCAAATTCAAGTGTGAGCTGGGCACGGGTGGCTTCTTTTCTATGGCAGCCATAGGCTTTTGGTCAGGACGTCCTATCGGTATTATTTCAAATGGATCTTAATGTCTGATACCTACATGGCTAGAATTCATAGTTTTAAAGTGTTCAAGACCTTTTTATTTGTACACACTTTAGCCAATGATTGAACATTAGTCAATAGGAAATACTTAGCAAGGTGTTTTTGGTCAGAAGAGATTAAAAACTAGAATTTGGAAGTGAAGGCATGAATCAAGTGGTAGAGAATATTCCTAGCAAGCACAAAGCCTTGAGTTCAAAAGCTTAGTGACCAAAACAATGTTAGGAATGGTCCTGACCTGATTTTTCAGCCTCCTAACTGTTCAGATGTCATAGGTGGCACTGTGCCCTGCCCCTGCCAAACCCTCCCTGGCAGCTCTCGATCATGTGGTATTTAAAAACACAAGCATTCTTAAAAATAACAATAAAATTACACAAATGCTGCATGAGCATCTCAATTGACTCTTGAACAGAAAAAGGACAAACAGATGAAATATGAAAGCTATCTTGGGGGTACATAGTATGAGTGCACCAATGTTAATTTTTGGTTCTCCACAAACGTTATCAGTGGATGTGAACATACTAGCGGTAGAAAATGCTGGGTGAAAGGCTCATAAAGCATCTTCTTTTCTATAAATCCAAAATTATTATAAAAGTAAAACATAAACAAGGTTTTCAGAGTCAGGCTTCAATCTGCCATTTAATAGTTAGTTAACTTTCCTTACACCTCATTAATTTTATTCATTCACATTTATTGCATGCTTAACATATGTCAGTCACCATACTTACAAAACAGAGATGGAAAATCAACGCTTACCTTCAAGGGTTTGGCAGGCACAGGATATGAAGGAGCGACACAGATAAACAGTAGATTCTGTTACAGGCTTTGATACTACACCAGGAAGACTGACCCTGCCACAGAGGCACTACAATTAAATACACTGAATTTTCCATTGCGCGAAATCCAGCATCGTTCCTGGCCCATAAAGAGTATTTAGTAGTTTCTCTAGTTCTTCCTCTGAGATGGGCGTGGGGAAGGGGGTTGATTTAAAAGCCTTAACCCAGCAATGCCAAAGGTTTGGATCAGATTGCTATGGCTTCGGGTGTGTGTGTGTGTGTGTGTGTGTGTGTGTGTGTGTGCGCGCGCGCACGCGCGCCATGTCTACAAGACCAGAACCACCCATACTTATCTAATCTCCTTGAGCAAGAGAAATCTACCTCAACACTGTGGCCAGGCTGAGCTGGGTATTCCTTTATTATGGCCAGGATCTTCTGTATGTGGCACAACCCACTACCCACTAGATACCAGCAGTCTCCTCAAGTCACGACAACTACCACTGTGCTCACATACTTGTCAGTTGTCCTATAGGAAGGAAAATCAGCTCTGGCCAGAACTTGAGGCAAAAGTGTGTATTCGATGCACCACAGATCCAGAACATCTTACTGGGGCTGAAACACTGCCCTCTGCCAAACTAGGGAAAGACTTGTACCAGCAAAATGTCCCATTAATAATGTCAATCCTTTATTTCAGAACTTCTCTGAGCCTTTGTGTTACACGTGTACACAGTGGCATTCAAAAACGCAACTACAGCCCGAATATTTCCCAAACTATGTGACCGGGAGCACCTTTGGAATAATATTTATAGAATACAAGTTGAAGAAATGAAGTCCTAATCAAACATTTTTTGCAGCATTCCAAAGGGGCTAAAGCATGAATTAAAAAAGTGAAAAGAAAGATTGAACTGATCTTTAAGGCAGTCTGGAATACGGAAATCATTTTTATTTAAATGCAAGCTATTAATTTAGAGCATGAGCTGATGTCTGCCATCAGATACAGCACGCGACTGGGGAAGAGCAATCGAAATTCAGGAAGGAGATAAAACCCAAATGGTCATTAAATCATCTATAATTTCAAAGCAGAGGAAATTTCACATCTGCCGAAGATGTTTTCTTTGAGGTAAAAATGTGCATATGTGCCGCTCTCCAGAATATTATTTTAACAGCACACTGATAATTAAGCACAGATCAGGACTAAAATTCATAGCCTTTTGGAGCACAAAGGAACCACCATCTAATTTGAACATCTTGTGTTATAAGTGGCCATATATAAGCACATACACACACACACACACACACACACACACACCGTGCTGGAATTTCTGAGTGTCCCAGAATAGACCCCAATTTATAAAGCTTAAGATTTCATTTACCTGAAAATTCTTCTCTGGTGGAATTCTGGAAAGATCCCACCAGGATTCTCCCCCGACAGGCTGTGTCAGACCGAATTTGCACATTCCGAGTCAGTAGTCCAACGGCAACAGCCAAACGAATGCTTTGACCGTCTTCCACGACGTGAGCTCCTCCTGGGGAAATGGGAGTTAGTGTGGGCTGAAAAGACATCTTGAAAATCTATGTCAGAAACCACCAGCTGGAGACCGAGGGCACCTCACAAATGAAAATCCCTCCACTCCCCTTGGAAGTCCCACCAGCTTGAAGGCCTGCTTTGTCCTCGGGCATTCTCCACAACGGTCAGCTGAGAAATGAGAAAACCTGTTAACTTTTCTCTCTTTGGGATCCAAGCGAGTGTTTGAACAAGAATTCATTTCTTCTCAATAACTGTGGGTGGTTGGACAGGTACAGAGAAGACAGGGCACACCTGTCCAATTAGTGGAGTTTCCCAGACTCCTGCCTTAAATCCTCAAGACGGGATAGTGGTGTTTGGCTCTCCACTGCCCATGACGTCTCTGATGAGAGCCGAGACGGTCACAGATCAGAGACCATAGGGTGTGCGAGCAAAAGGGGAACGAAGTACAGTGTGGAGCAGCGGCAGATTTCACTATGGCTCCAATTGGAAAGGACGGCTGCATGCTTCTCTCTCCTCTCATTTTTAATAAAAAGTGAACCAAGCCAAACATGACTGCTTCTGCCTGTAGTTCCAGTGGTTTCAGAAGTTGAGACAGGATGCTGGCTTAAACTTGAGCAATTCAAGACCAGCCTGGGTAACAGTGAGAACTCATCTCAATCAATCAATCAATCAATCAATAAAGCAAGCATCATTCAAACTATGATTTAGAGATAGCTTTTGATAGTACTAGTGAAAATACACATTTCACTATATCATATATCATGCACACAAAAATAAGTCTCTAATTTCTATTTTCAAGTTTCTTTTAGGAGTATCTCCATTATTAGATTTCCTTATTAGACTAACCATTATTTCCATATAGTACAAATATAATAAAGATACTATGTTAATATATTTAATGTTTGTTTTATAAAAAGAGATTGGAGCTTTTCTATTCCTCTTTTTCTTTTGTGATGGCTCTGGGGCTTGAACTCAGAGCTTTTTGGCTCAAATCTGGCCCTCTACCCTTGAGACACAGCTCTGCTTCTGGCTTTTTGGTGGTTAATGAGAAGTTATGAGTCTCACTGCCTTCCCTGCTCTGGAGGGCTTCAAACCTCAATCCTCAGATCTCAGCCTCCTGAGTTGTAAGAATTACCACGAGCACTGTCCTCTTTTCTCTCCTTCTCCTTTCTCTTCTCTTTCCTCTCCTTTTCCCATTCTCTCCCTTTCCTCCCTCTCAACCGTTCATATTTTTCCCCACTCTCCACCTCCATTTTATCATGGTAGTTGATATATAAAATGTATTTGCTGTCAGGAAGGATGTGATCATAAGTACGGGAAGTAGTCATTAGTGACCATAACTACCATATTCTAAGGGGTTGTATGATTCAAACCCAGGAACTCCATTAGAAACTCAGTGTTCCTAAATTGCACTGAGGCTTAACCATGCAAATGTCCAGCAACTTTAAACAAACTTTTCAATTCCACTCTTAGACTTGCTACTAAGACTTAAAAAAAAAATACTTTATACCTAAGTAGTCTTTAAAAGTAAAGCATACAATTCACAAAGAAATAACTATGAATTAATCCACGGCAGCAATGAAGTATTATCCTTCCCCTCTGAACTGCTCAGGCAAGTGGCCAAAGATGCTGTCCTGGTGCTGGCCTTCCCTTCACCAACAAACCCCAGCCTTACCGAGGTGCCGGTACTGGAGACGCTCCTGGATGCTCACATGCCGGCCCCGGACCGCTCTCACGGTGAGCACCTCGGCTTCGTGGGGCTCGTAGGAAGAGGGGCAGAGGACGATTTTGTCCTGGGGTCGCCAGTCCAATACCTCTTGCACTAGAATTCTGAAACAGCAGAAAGATGGCATCCGAAAGCTGAGCGCCCAGTGGACGCCCTCCCCTACTCCAGAGTGGAAAAGAAACCCACCACAGCCAGCATGTCCCCCAGTGATGAATAAATAGCAAGAGGGGACATAGAAAAGGAGGATTTTGTTTTGGGGGTGAGAAATGTAATACTGATAGACCCATTTTCAGGCTTGCAAATGTATTTATTACAGGGATAACCAAGAGTTCCCATAACTGTGAAGGCAAAGCAGTGAGAAGTTGGGCGAGTTTCCCCAGAGTTTCCGGGAGGAGTCTTCACTTCATGGGCGGCAGGACGCGGGTCATCTTCCCTCTGGACCAGGAAGGAGGAGGAGTGAATGAAAAAGAGCAGGGACTAGGGAGATGGGGGCCAAAAGATAGAAAAGTCTCAGTGAGACAAGAAGAATGTGTTCAGGAAATCTAGTGGGTAGCATGCAGACCTGCATGAACAACAGCAAGGCTACGTGCTAGGAAACTGCGAGAAAGTAGGTTGGGACTGCTCTTACCACACAAACACTACGTGAGGTAATGCAGGTGTTGAGTGACCCAACTTAGCCATTCCATGATGTGAGTCAGAGCCTCATTTCATGCAGGGTAAATGTATACTTTTACTAGAGTGGGGTTGGGAGAGATGCAGGAGGCCATTCATGGAGATGTACTGTACTCACAAACTGATGTGTTGAACGGAAACCCCTTTGTGCAACCATTTAAAGAATTATAAAAAGTTTAAGTAAAATTATTAATCACCTAAGAAACAGGAGACTGGATAAGCCTTATGACATCTTTTTTTTTAGCTAAATGAGATGAGAAACCAGAAAAAAAAAAAATAACAAACTTGGGAAACATTGCTCCATAGACCGGCTATTCCTCCTACTTTCTGCTACCCAGAAAGTGTTTCCTGCCCCACAGGGTAAAGGAACGTTTTCACTGGGTAAAAAGATTTACAGCACTCTTCTGACTTTCTGTCTAGAAAATCATGTCACTTCTGTCTTTATATATTCAATCTCTATCACTACCACTTGATCTAAGCTACCATCCAACATCACCTGAAAATCTGCCCGGTGGTTGCAGTATCTTCACTAAGTAACTTCATTCAAGCTCAAGTCAGACCCTGTCTCTGACTGCTTTAAAAAAAATCTTTCAATTGCCAGAATGAAATCTGCATACTATCAGAAGATTGACATAAAAACCATTTAATTTCAAAGAACGCATGGTTAACCAAAGACACACATGTGCAACATGAACGTAATTCGTGCAACGGCTAGGAATAAATTCTTTGTGTCTATGCTTAATTTGTTTCTACTTATTTACAATTCAAAACAATCTATTTTCTTTATCCCTCTCCCCAGAAGTCAACCAAATTGAGTTATAATAAATAATAATTTCGAGATAAATTTGTAAATAACCCAAAACAAAAAGCAACACATTTGTCTTCAAAATGTTTTGCTCTGCTCACTTTGGTTGGATGTACAAGAAATGAATCATGCTTGCCTAAACTATTTCCTTTGGAGACATCCCGTTAATTTTATTCATGGCATAGATTGATTATATGCAAATAAATTCAACTATCTAATTTTCTTGGTGCAAATTTGTGGCAGGCATTCAGGTGAAATTTGACCCCATCAAAGCAGGAAGGCTGACTCAACTGAGCTAAAATAAGGAAGACCGCAGGATGTGGGCCACAGAAGTGACCTGAAGGTTCTCAACTGAGCCAATGGTGCAGCAGTGCCCCGTCCCCAGGTTTACTAATGTCCCGTGGTCACAGACGAAGTCATCATCAAGGAATTTAAGCCAGAGGCTTAAGGAAACTTTACTACTTTTACAAAGCCCTATAAATAAACCCTCTATTATTTTAACAATTTTTAAAAATGCAAGCATAGCTGTAAAACCTGTATACGATGATACATAATTCACATAACCTCATTAAAATATTCTTCCTTGGTAGGATCTAAGCAATGGAATGAACAAACCAGGGTGACACTTCACCCACTGGAACCCTTCATCTCTCCGCACCTGTGTCACTTAACTTTTCCAGCCTTATTTTCCGACCCATGCTACGTAGACACCACACCTGATATCACTGGGAGGTTTACCCGAGCTAAGCAATGTGTAAGTGCTTGGGAGACTCTTGAGACGTGACACATCCACAGGACAAGAATTTAATAAATGGTAGCTGAGGACCACAGACAGTTGAATCGATAAAACTGAACTTGCGAAATAGCTTGTAGCTCAGACTCTGAGTGAAGTTTTTAACACATTCTTATAAGATAAAAGCCATTCGTGGGACTCTTGCCAAATTCCAACTCACTAACCTTTTCATTATAATTAAGGTCTCTTATCGACCCCTATTAGGAATGCCTACTCTGCAAATCCTTTCGGAGGCCAGGAAAGCACTTCCTGCTCCACATGTCCGTCTCTGAATTTTTGTTTTTCCTCAAACTTTTCCAGGACTGAGCAGACTGAGCAAGCTCTTTCCTCCATGCAAGGGGCACTGTGCATCCTTCGAGGAAGTAAAGGCCAAAGGGCAGAGGAGAGCAGGGGAAGGTAGCCACTCTCCTGCCAGGTCTCCTGGGCGGAGACACCGTCTCCTTCCCCTAGGAATTCTGGACTCTAACACTTGCTTGTGGAAGTGTCCGAGGTTCTCAGACCTTCAGCATTGGGCTGAACGTTACAGAATCGGTTTCCTGGGTTTTAAGGTTGTCTGACTTCGACTGAGACAAATGTCCGGCCTCACCGGTTTCCTCAGCTCCCAGAAGACATTTTTGTTGTTGTTCTCGGCGCATATGATCATCTGACCCAATCCCCAGAATGAATTCCCGCCCCTCTCCACTGAGTCTCATAGGAGCTGAGATCGCGTTCTGTCTCTGCTCTACCCGAGACGCTGTCTGGTGCACTGTCTCATGTCTGCCAGCTTTCCGCTCTGTCTGTCATTTTCCAATGGAAGAGTTAGCTTGTCTCTCACTGGAGTTTGTGACTGGCACCTCTGGAGGCCCCGGATCCCTGCCACTGTCCAAGCTGCTCCGATGCTTTGTGTCCACACATACGACCTCCTGTCACTCAAAACCCATGGGAGCTAAAATCCTGATGTTGGCCGTGAGTGTCCTGATTGCCCCCCATTCTGCAGAGTTGTGCTCAGCCCCTGCTCCGTGTCATTCCCCCCCACCCTGCCCTGACATTTGTTCTCTCCTTTCTCCTTCCCCTCTTCCCCACGGTAGTTTGATCTCTAGGCCCCAGCTCTCTCCTCCACCTGCCCCCCACCATGGCATCCTCTTCCTGGAGGCTGACCCCCAGAGGCTGGATACCACCCTACAGGACTCATCACCTCCTGCTGTCGCCACTGCGTGTCTCCAAGTCAGCATGTCACTGCCACCTTCCATAGCGACAGACTTCTTCCCTTCCTGGCCTCCATGTTCATCCGTCAGCGCCCTCTGTCCACCTGGCTGTCCCCTCGCTGGTGTGATGACACCGCCCCCCCACCCCGCTCCACACAGACTTCCTCCTCTGCTGTCCAGTGCCTTGGTACCCACCGTGCCACACGGCTCTGCGCGCTGCTTGCTCTGTGGTCACCTGTCTCCATCACCTCTCAGCTCAGATTCCCCAGCAAGGGATTTCCTGTCCCTCCATGTTAACGGTCTACCCTTCTACCACCATCTTCCTCCTGGACTGGTTGTAATCTGTCACGGTGCCGTGTGCACTTCTGTGTGCACTTGTGTATCGTCTCCCTCTCTGCCATCATGTCGGCTCCTGGCGCGCGGTCCACAAGCCAGCGCCAGTGCACAGAGAGAATTGCTCAGATGGGCGCAGAAACCTGGGGAGCTGCTTGCTCTGGGGCTGGGCTGGCTCTTTCCCCTGCCTTCCTCCTTTCCGTCTCTCCGTTCCCACCTCTGACCCGCCCTGCAGGAACACTGCCTCAAGTCCCCACATGAGGATGTTAGCAGGGCTCTGGCCACAGCCTCACAGGCCGCGCCAGACGCGTAATTATTGCTAGGCAAGTACTCTGCCGCTCGGCCATGCCTTCCAGTCCTTTTTAAATTTTTTTCAGACAGGTCTGGAACTTTTTTTCTTTGCTGGCCCACTAACTCCACCTCCCACATAGTTGGGATTATAAGTATTCAACACCAGAATCAGCTTGGTTTTTTGATACAGAATCTCACTTTTTCACCCAGGCTGGTCTCAAACTGTGACACTGAGATTACAGGCATGAGCCATCATATCCAGGCTCTGTAATGCCTGACACAGATACCACATTAACCATCGTACTCATCATTGCATCCCCAGATTAGCTCAGTGTTTGGCATAATATATGCAGTTGAGCAAGTAGTGCTGAATAAATAACTGCAAATGGAGCTTGCTCTTAGTTCATTCAATTATATTCTTCCTTGCCACTTATGATTGTTGATTTTCCTACATATAAAATCTATTTGTTCAAAAATTTTGACATGTTACCAAAGTGGGATAAGGTATACATTGTTCTTATGTTACAATTTTCATTTTAAGGGCATTTGTTATATAGAGTTATCATTCTATTGAGTTATTGTAGGAGTCAAGTTTGTAGAGTTTAAACCACCAACACATTTTTAAATTATCTCTACTGATTTTTGACTTTCTAATTCCTGAATTTCCAATCAATTTCATGATGTTTGCTGGTGGTCTTTTCAGACCTCCAATCTCTCTTTCTGCTTGTTTGTATTTGATTCTTTTTTCTCATGCTGATACTTTAGTTTATTTTTGTTTTCACACTCAATCAAGAAAGCACTCAATTACTTGGCTATCAACCATTTCTCAAAAGTAGCTCTTGTATTCTTTTACTTCGTCTTGAATTATGACACTTAATTTAAAATTCAATTTCATTTGGAACAAAACCTCAAACAGAGGCAAACTAAGCTACAAACTAAAGTCTCTGCCTTACTCATTCCTTACCTCTCATTTCCGGGGGCAATATCAGCTCCAAGCTGTGTCCAGGATTTCTTAGGATATGCACTGTGAAGTAGAAATTTCCCATAAACCCCTGAAAAATTAGAGAAGCAACAGAGAAATAGAAAATCCCTTCAGCATTATTAAGGCCAGGTAAGCATAATACCATGCAGAAGTGATCATGTAAGCCATGTGATCCACAATCGATATCTAAAGCTGTACTATATTTTATAGTAGGTCAAATGTAACGATGGTAAGCGTTCTCTGAGAGCTGGATAGAATTGAATGTTCCATCCCATCTAATCATCTAAAAGCTGGGACACAGGTCAATCCCCTGGCATTAGTTACATCTGAAGAGATACTTCCTTCTACCATTAAGTGACTTAAAACCATTTGCAATTCTGTAGGCTTTGATATTTTATGTCCTATACTTGATGCTTTGGTTCTTTTTATTGTGAAAATACTGTACAGAGGGGTTACAATTACATGGGCAAGATAATGAGTACATTTCTTATCAAGCATTGTAGCCTCCTCCTTTGTTTCCCCTTCCCATCCCTTCCTATCCTCCTCTGCCCTCCACCCAATCCTCCCGCCCCCACCAAGGTTGTAAAGTTGGTTTTCGACATAAAGACTTGTACATCTCATTGTTGCAATGCAAAGTATCACTATTTAAACGATTTGTTTTTTCCCTTCCCCTCCACAAATTATACCGACATCAAATACAGTGAAAGCAGGGGTTATACTATGGGGGAGGGACATACAAAGCAACAAAGAAATGATCTTATAAATGTGTTAGAAACAATTGCATGAAAGAAAAAAACATTTGAATATATATCTTAGGGTTCATTTCCCTAACATCACCTTATCTGACCTTTTCTGCTTGACTCAGACATATACTAGTTATTGCAAATAAGGGAAACCATGGGACCTATGTTTCTTTGGGCCTGGCTTACTTCATTTAATATAATTTTTTCCAAGTCTTTCCATTTCCTAACAAATGGGGCAATGTCATTCTTTCTGGTGGTTCTTTTTTTATACGAGGTGGGGTGGGTGGTAGGTGTTTGCTGGTCCTGGGGCTTGAACTCAGGGCCTGGTGCTGTCCCTGAGCTTCTTTTTATTCAAGGCTAGTGCTCTGCCACTTGAGCCATAGCTCCATTTCCAGCTTTTGGCTGGTTAGTTGTAGATAAAATTACCAATGCACATTGTTGCCTTGGCTAGCTTCAAACCTGAATTCTCAGATCTCAACTTCCAAAAAGTTAGGATTACAGGTGTGAGCCACCAGTGCCCAGCTCTGAAAACATGGTATTATTTTTTGTCTGATTCTGGCTCACTTTGGTTGACAGGATGACTTCCGGTTCCATTCATTTTTCTGCAAACAACATAATCATGCTCTTCTTTTTAGATAAATATGTGACACTGTGTTATTATTATGTCATACATTCTTTATCCATTTGTCCACACATGAACGTCACGGGGATTCCATAACTTAGCTACTAATTAGTCACATGATTATCATTTATAATATAGATTTTTGTCTAGACACTTGGTGTTTACTCAATCTAGGCACAATAAATCTAAGTTCTTAGACTATAACTTATGAAGTGTTATATGAATTGTTCATCTTCTCTGAATTTTTGTCAGAGACATACTAAGTAATATACTAAGTGTAATTTATCCAGAAGAGTGCCTGGAATTTAGTCAATGGTCCACAGATAGAACTTGTGTATCACACACATACATACACGTGCATGTACTTATTACCTTTCCTTATTTTAAAATTGCATTTTTATTATCTTTACGTGATGTAAAGGAGTTACCATTACACAAATAAGTTTATAAACAGTGCGACCTGATCAGTATCACCCCTCTGACTATCCCCCCTCCCTTACCACCTTTTCAATCAAGATTGTATTATCCTCTTACCAATCGTCCCTGGGTCAACTTGGATTCCATAGAGGCGGTTGCATGACACTCCTTCTGAGGCTCGGAGGTGGATCAGGAGCTTTCGTTCTTTTTCTATGGGATTTTCTAAAGTCCCTGTGTACAGAGAAAACTGTATCATTCAGAGTAATGGGAAACTGAAGCAGAGAATACGCAGCAGTGCTGTGAAGTAGGTTACCTGGAAAAGAGCTGGTGTCACCTAGATAAAACAGGAGGAGGAAGGTGACCCTCCGCGAAGATGGGGATGGAGACTGGACTATTGCAAACGCTCACCTCCCTTTCTTCTCTAGGTTCAAGTATACTTTGTGACCTACTCATATTTAGGCCAATCATGTGACTTGTTTTGGCTGACGAAACTTGAGTGGAAGTCATACAAATCCTAGTTCTCACTTGCAGTTTTTATTGACTTGGTCAGTTTCCACCAGCTTTCTTTCAATTCTGGTCTCTACCAAAAAAGGAGTCCCCTATAGCCTCTGGGACCCAGAGGTACAGGCATTAAGAACAAACCCACACAGGACATATAAGCTGGAGTCAAACCCAGCAAAGTCTAACGCAAAGCCTTGTTTTTACAAACCAAGGTTTAGGGATTACTTGCTACAAACTATTAATTTTTTAAAAATTGTTGATATGCTATATAGGGCTGTATGATTCACAAATCCATCATTTGAATGCATACATTTAATCTTCATCCCCTCATCCTCCCTCCAAAACAGAAGTTAATAAGGATGATTCTTATCCTAATTTTAAGGATTCAGACATAAAGAGACAGAGGTTTGGGGACCGAAGTTTATTCAAATATTAAATAACAGACCTTTTGAAGAAAAGCTCTGTTTGTGGTAAATGTTTTATTAAACAAGTAACACATTCTTTTTTATATAAATTCTTTTAGCAGCATAAAGACAGAAGGCTGCGATCCTCAGACAGGAGATGGAGCTCTCTGCTGACCTTGTGCTAGCATAAGCACTGGTCTTGTTTGCAGAGGGAAGCTTGTTCAAGGGGTTTCCTGAGATGGCGTTAGTGAATGTGGACCTCAGGTGGCTCTCTTCCTTTGACAATATGTCTTAGAGCACAGAAAAGAATTGCAGTCAGTTGTTTAAGCGATAACGGGTAGAGAGTTCATCATACAACTGCCCAGCAGCTCAAGTAAGCTCACAAAACCTCTCTGCTATCAGACGGGACTCCCCAACTTAGAAATGAGGCTGGCACATGCAGGATGGAATGACCGAAGCTGAAAATTACCTACTTGTCTTTTGGTGAGCGATTTTTTTCCCAGACAAGTATAACATCACAGCTATCATTTCACATAGACCTGGTTAGCCAGGAGGCTCAAGATGAGTCTGAGACTCGCTATGCATCTATCTTCACAGTCTAGCATGTACAGCCATTGCTTGAAAAGGAACCATTGAAAGCAAGACTCAGAGGAACAAGATAATCGACATGGAGTCATACCCTGGATCAGTGGGCAGGCAGGGACTGGGACATAAACTGTTGATATCAATAGAACAAGTAGCTGCTTCACTAAGCAATGCCAGGCCTCAACTGAGGTACTGAAGTATTCTCTTCACCCAGACATAGATTCAGTAGAGCGGGAAGAAGGGAAGCAGGGAGGGGGGATGGTAGGGCAGCAAGCACGTACGGTGCGGTGCTTATCTTGCAGTTATAAGTCTGTCCAGTGAGCTGTTTTCCAACTGTGATTTCATTTATTTCACGGAGGGTAGTTTAAAGTCTTAGAGAAGAAGAAAAAAAAAATGGCCTAGTGCTAAACAGATACCAGAGAGAGAAAAGTAGGACAGTTTTTGCCCTAGAGAAATGTATGCAGAGTTCCACAAAAGGAGTTCAGCGTTTCCCTAAAATCAGAGATTAAATCTATTATGCAACCCAAAACGACAGCACATGTGCAGCTTTCATAGAAAGTCTGGGCAAAATTAGTCAGCCTGCCGGGGTCTTTTTGGTATCTGAAGTGACCAGAGTTGGGATTCCTTTTTGTTACCATGGGGGAGGGGCAAGATGGGGCTTGGGGGTGAGGTAGAAGGAAAGAAAATTGAAGAGAAAGAAAAAACGTGCTCTTCTAAGTTTTAACATGCAGTGCTTCTTGGGCTTGTAAAAAAAGATTGACGGAAAGGTGACATGGGTGCGTTAAAGGCTGAGATCCTCAAAGGATGCAACGAGGGAGCCTCTTCGCACAGGCTGTGGCCGCGGAGGAGCTGCGCCCCGTCCACAAGCGGACGGTCCACCTAAGGGAACCCCTCTACAGCCCATGCCAAGCTGTCCTCAACCACAAGAAGCTGCAGGAAGTGATGTATTCATCAGGGGAAGGAAAACCATTGTCACTGTGCTGCCAGTGACATGCGCAATTTCTTTTAACTCTCACAGGCTTCCCATGACACTTTGGGGCTTCTCGGGAAGGAAACTGAGGCAAAAGAAAAAAAAAAGAAGTTAAACAACTTGTCGGAAATTTCACAGCTATTACATGGTGAAGTTGGGCCTTCGGCTTAATAAATACCATTCTGGGGCACGGGATGTGGCAGAATAAACGTGAAGCAAAGTCGGTATGACTTCGCAGGATGGTTGGCAGTGGAGGGAAAAGGGAATAGGTTCCAGATGCTAAAATCACCTGGGGAGATGGAAGAAAATACGTTCTGGTGTACGAAAGATAACCATTATTGATTTGGGGAATACGGTACAAATGGACTCCATGAACTTCAAAAGGTAAGAGAAATGGAAAAGGACCTTTTATTATTCGGCTAACTCAGCCCCTTTGACGGTATTAAGCATAATGCTAGTTTACACGTAAGCCTCTCCTACCAACACGACTCCCCGATGCCCTGAACGTCCATAACTGGGTTCCTGAGCGGTCCCTCTGCCTCTCTGGGCTCCAGAGGGTCTTTAGTCGGTCTTCACCTTGTTCCTCCCAGTGCTGAATGCTCTTTCCGTTTGTGTTGGCGCCGGCCATACAAATCGATTTCCAATCTTCAATTCGATGTTCCCCTTTGTGTCTAAAAGTGGCTGCGCCTCTCACTGCCGTACCTCTAGTTCAACGAATTCATCCTAAAGAGTTACTAAGAGTCGGGAGGCTGAGACTTGGAGGATCACTGTTTGAAGCCAACCTTGGGCAGAAAAATCAGTGAGGCTCCATCTTGAATTCACTGGCATAAAAGCTAGGCTGGAGGTGTGGCTCAAATGTTTGAGCAGCAGCCCCGAATAGGTTCTACATACCTGTAGGATGGTCAATCATACAAAGTGTGGAAGCTCTTCACTCTGTCGTTACTTAGTTATAACAGCAAACATCTGTAGAGGCTTGGATGCAGCCAACAATGAGAAACAGCTTTGCGTGTGCAGAATTCCTTCCACCTTCCCAGTTTGAGCCACGGAAGTCCCTAAGATACTGCTTGTTTGCCTCGGCTCTCTCTGCCGGGAACACAGCCATTTCCTGAATCCAAATGGTGAACTCTTATCTATACCCACACCCAGCTCAGATGCCACATTTTCCTCGATGTTTCCTTGTCAATTTAGTTGGGATTAAGTGACCCCCCTGATGAAGCTACTTTATAAGCCATCTATTTGTAGATAACTATTCAACACATTTCTACATTAAATATGTGTCTGAATCATTTCCAAATCATAGTTGAACTTGAAAGAGGACATTCATATATTTTTAACCTAATCTCTTTTTTTCCCCCTTTAACAAACATCACATGAGACCGTTTGGCCATCCAGTGGCATCGTGGCTTTCAGCTGGCGGCTATGTTTTAATCTACACTTTCCTTGGGTTTGTCTTCTTATTACATAATCATCCAATGAGCCTTACAGAACTGTCTGTTCAGAAGGCAATAAACTGGGTATGGATTTTTCTTCTTCTTTAGGACTGAGAAAGTCCCAATCATGGAAGCAATGAAAGAAACAGCCATGTGCTTGGTACTTCATTTCCTGACAATCAACGCCGTGCGTTAATGATAACCTTAGGCTTCTGGCTACAAGGGTGAGGCAGGGCTGACAAATACCCATCACGAGCCCCGGGAAACAAAAGTGTGACGTGTTTTAGGATGAAAGCCCAAGTCTTCAGTCTAATTGCTGGCAGCCAGAGAGTTAGTTCATTCCAGGACTTGGCTGTGACAGAACAAAGGACCGGTGCACATCTGTGTCCCCAGTTCCAGCAATGTGTGGCGTGTGGCGTGCCAATTTAGGAATCAAAGAGCTTTCTTGCTGGTCAGTTTTACAGACCCATCCAGATAACTCTTACCTAAACTTACACGTATGAAATCATTAGCCAGGCACCAGTGGCTCGTGCCGGTCGTCCTAGGAAGCTGAGCTCTAAGGATGACTGCTTGTCGCACCTACAGTATCTGCCTTTCTGCCTCACTGCCACTGGAAGCATCCAGCCTTGGCTCACCTGGTTCAGACCAGGCCTAAAAATGTCACTTACCCGCTTCACACGAGATGCTGTGACTACCTGCTCTCTCCACAAGCAGGGAGCACAAAGCGATGGGCTTCCACGCGCTCCCCCCAGTCCCAATCAATCCTGTAACTGCAGGTATGCACTTGCTTGACGGGCTAATCACTGAATGGTAGGATCTCGGTCCATGCAGATGTATCTTTGCAGGTGTCTTTTCTGAAGCTGTGGCCTTCTCCAGCTTGAAAGACATGACCATTTCAATTCTGTTTTTCATCTGTGTCTCCACTAAGGAGATACCTCTTGAAAGCTAGGGTTCATGTTTCCTACCTTGGTGTGTTCCATCTCTTCCCTGGCACTGCTCGTATATATGGTGGATGCTGAAGAAATGTGAAACATTAAAGGCTGGTGTACAAGTGACATGCTCCGTGCTTACCTCAAACGTTCCATCCAGCACTGAAAGAACAGAGTGGCGCTTGACATTTTCCATACAGCTGTATTCCTCCAAGCAAATTTCTGGTCTTCCATTTCCCTCTCATCCTAGCATTCTATGAGTTTATGCTACTAAAAGTCGATCTTCTGCCAACCCCCGTTGCCTTAAAAACAGGACATCCAAGAAATATAATTCCACACTGTGGGGACTTGGATCAGATGGCATTGGAGAGCGGCTACCTCCTGGCAGCACTCGGTGCCAGGGTCCACATCTATTAAGTGTGTTTACTAACTAGTCCTATTATCGACTTCCTGTTGGCATTTCTTTAGGTGGGGTAAAATTGGACAGATGGGTTGGAAGTCTTCCTGCAGGCATATTACATCCAGGATTGGGCAGATGGGGTCCCATCCGTCACTTGTGGGGCTGGAACACACACAGGGGATGCACCGAGGGAAAGAGGACACATTATCTCGCGCGGAGTCAAAGTGCAGCTGAGAGGGAGAGCTTCACCTCTCAGATCTGCCATGCGCAAAGCACCCATGGTGGGCGGGGGCAGGGCGTACTTCCCTCCAGACATGTAGACTGGTCAGCACACAAGGTATCTATTGTAGCAGCGACAGCAGAAACCTAGAAATGATTTTTTAAAGGACCAACCTCAACAACCAAAGATGTCAACCTGAAATAAGTAACTTCTATTTTTAAGCAGGGTCTAGTTTTAGCACATGTTTCTATCCTTTTGAAAGTGATCAGTGAATTCTATGAGAGTTTTGTAGAATAATAAACACCTGGACAATTAGTATTAACATGAAAGGAAAAAAATTGAAACACAAAAGTATGTCCCCAGTATGGAAATATAGACTGAAGTGATCCAATAACGAGATAACAAAAGCCAGGTGCTATTGGCTCACACCTGTAATCCTAGCTACTCCAGGAGGACCATAGTTTGAAGCAGCCTGGGCAGCTAAGTCTATGAGACTCTTATCTCTAATTAATCACCAAAAAACAAACAAACCAACAAAAACAAAAACAGAAACAAAGCTGTGGCTCAAAGTGGTAGAGTACTAGCCTTGAGCAAAAAAGCTCAGGGACAGTGCTCAGGTCCTGAGTTCAAGACCACAACCAAGAGAGAAAGAGAGAGAGACAGAGAGACAGAGACAGAGACAGAGAGAGACAGAGACAGAGGCAGAGACAGAGAGAGGGGGGAGAGAGAAAAAGAGAGAGAGACAGACACAGACAGAGAGAGACAGAGAGACAGAGACAGAGAGAGACAGAGAGCACTAAAACATTGTACTTGGGATCCTCTCAGACCCAAGAGAAAGCCAACTGAGCAAATAAATCCTCGGTAAGATGCAGTGGGGGAGCTCAAGACAGCACTCGGAAGAGAGTAGGAATTACAGCTGACATCTGGTCAGCAGGATGGAGTGTCCCACATGGCTAGAAACCTGGGTTTCACCATTTGCTGTGGTCACAGAAGTAGCTGCTCCTGCAGGGAGTCTCTCTTCCCAGCTGGAGGACCCTCATCTCCTAGCACCTACCAAGTTTCTAGAACCCTCCACTAGCCACCCAAGGAGCCACAAAAACAAGGACAACAACAAGGAACCGTCAGTGGCCTCCACATGGGTCAGACATACTGCTGGCCTTCCAACTCTCTGCCATGCTCTCCAGAGAGCCAACTCAACCATGAGTCCCTCTCAGGCCTGGCTTCCTGTGCTTAGCTCCCTTCCCCCTCCCTCCGTCTCTCTTACGTTCACCCCATGCCTCCAGGGTTGTCTGCCCCAAGTAAAGTGCTGGCCACAGCCCTCACTCACCCGCCTGCAGCTCCCCTCCTAGGATGGCAAGGCAGGCCACGCTCAGAACGTTGCTTCTGTCCACAGGGAACTCCAGGGTCCCCAGCACATAGAGGCCTCGGAGCCAGGGAAGATCTATGTCCACGAGCACAGTCCTGTCTGTGGAAGAACAAGGAAGGGGTCAGACGCATACCTAAAACAAGAATCGCCTTCTCTTGCCCATTCTATCTCCGGAATGGTTTTTTTCTTGGTAATTCAGGAGCTGCTTTTGTGTTGCTACTCGTGCTAGAAAAAGGGTCAGCCACAAATAGCCTGCCAGGGGCCAGGGGACATGGCTGCCATTGTTTAACACAAGAATACTTTGTGTGGGGCCTTAAGTTTTCTTTTTTTTTTTGCCCCAAATGGCTGCTCAAGCCTAATCAAGTACACACATGCATACCAAGTTACCCTCCCCCAACCTGTCCTTGTCCTTGTTTCTGGCCCTGGTTTCAAGGATCTACAGAACACTAGATATGACCTTGGCCTTGAAGAGTCCGCTGTCATCATTCTCCTCTTCCACCTCCTCCTCCCTAGCGGGGCCCTTTTGCTTTCATGACCTTGATTGCTATGGGGTTTTCTGGTTGTCGTTTCTCTACATTGCACTAATGGGGCAAACATTAATACTTGCCTTTGTGGGACTGGCTTATTTTGCTTCACCTGGGATGGGGGGAATTCATCCATTCTCTAGTGAACCAAGTGGTCTCAATCTTTTTAGTTAGCACCTATTAATTTCAATATGATATTCCCATCTATGCATATAATGAATCTCTACCGCCTCCTCCTTTCAACCTGCACCTTTAACTAATTTCCTTCAAAACAGTCACCATTCTGTATTCACGTCATTTTTTTTCTCATTTAAGGTCTAGCTTCCTGATACAGGAGAAATACAGGGCATTTATCTCTCAGCATCAAGCAAAACAATGAAATATCACAGACATGTTCTGGGTTTAACATACACTTTATGGGTTTATGATTTTAAGACACAAATTATTTAAAACAAGCTACCTTTAAAAAAACACTTTAATGGAAATGGCCGTTATCCTAAACTATAGTCATTCCATCCATGTTTGCCTACTGGATCTGATTTCACAAAACAATTTAAAAAAAAAGTTTCATCAAATGCTTTCTCTCACCCAAAGTTCATTCTCTCTCTCTCTCTCTCTCTCTCTCTCTCTCTAACATATACACATATACACAATATAACAGTAGACATTATTAACCCTTCCATTGTTCCTCTGCTCTTCCTTTTTCCTTACCTATGACATGCCAAATCTTTTCTATTAAAAGATGAGTGAGGTGTATATTTTCCCAGCACCAGCAAAAGACATACATGTAAACGAAATAAGTAGAATGTGGTAGAGTAGAAATGATAATAAACTCTTTAGTTATAGAGAAATCACTCCTGTCTTCATTCCCAGCGACTTCAAGTTCAAAAACTCCACTAACGTGCCTGCAGTAACACAGTTCTGCCACAAATAAACATAGACCTTATAATAAACATGGGACCGTTAGGATGGCTAGTAGACTCCTGGGATCTGAGTCTGAGGGGCGAGGGTGACCCTTGAACGCAGTCTTTGGAGTAGATCTGAAGTGGGGCGGAGCTGACCAGCTGCCCAGCCATGGCAGTTTGAGATGGCTTTCTTGCTTCTTTTCTCCAGGTATGATTTGGAATGAAGAGGCTGCGTTCTCCAGCAAGAGCATCCTTTCTGTAAAATCACTCAAAACCTCCAGAGTAATCACACAGACATGGCCGGACAAGTCTCTTGACAAACATAAACGGTGGATCACCTGTACCTCGGCGGTGGCCCGCTGCCCTCCGCCACATCCTGTATGTCCTCAGCTCTTCCATCTAACTCCCAGTGACCAATCCATCCTGCCTGAGAGGATGAGCCCTGGCAGATGGAGGGAACCATCTGGAAGTCCTATTGCTCAATGGGAGGCTGATGGAGGAGCTGATCTGGAAAGAAGCTCCAAAAAGAACTAATTAATGAGTTCCAGATGTAATTAAAGACTGCCCCCCCCCCCCCCCCGCTTCAAAGGGGCTCAGGACCAGGCACATGGGGTTGTGCCTCTTGGTTCGGAATTATACCCTTACCACTGGTCCATCCATCAGGCACTAAACACCCACCATCTTTTCCCTGAGATCTTGTGCCAAGCGATGGATTCTGTGGTGTTTTGTCTCTTAATGAGCTCCATATCAGCAATTAGAAAGACAACGCTTTAGAACCTAACACTAACAAGAATCCCCCAAGTGTAACAGCCACAAAATCAATGGCCAGTGCTTTGTGAATGCATCAGCCAGCCTGGAGAGCCAGATCAAAAGATGGGCATCTGAGGCAAAAGACTGGGGCTTCTCTGGCATCTGGAATCACTTAGCTACTACAGTTACAGCATATCATCTCGAGACTAGATTTAACACTCAATTTTCTTCCCCAACAAAGCTGACGAATTAAGGTCGCTATTGTGTAGCATTCCGAGGGTCTGACACTGGTCTAAATTTTACAGAAATGAGACCCAGGGCAAAGGGCAAAGGGCACGGACTCTGGGAATCATAATAGGGTCACACTGAGCCGGCGTCATTTGGGGGAGGAAGGCCCACTGCTTGTATGGTGTCCACTGTCTCGAGGCCATAACTTAGGTGGCAAAGACAGCTTCCACTACAACCCTGCCATTGTTGGAAAGGCAGTCTACACCAACAGCAGGCCTACACGGGATGCAGCCAGCGTGGAGAGACAGATGAGGGCACACAGGACCATTGTAGACCGCTCTGTCCCAGCACCTTCCATAATTAATGGTTTTGTTTCTACAGTAAGTCTTATCCACAACGTTTTCCTATGAGTACGTGAACCAAAGGAAAGGCGAGTTCTAATAGCATTTAAATCCCCATTCGGTGACCTAATCTTCCTTTCTACAAAGAGACAAATATACTTAGCTCAAAAGCGATCACTTGAAATACTTTAAATAGAAGTTGTCGTGGTTTTTTTTTTTTTCCTTTGTGGTCTTGTTCAATTTGCGTGGCGGGGCAGGGGGAGGGGAAATCTAATGGGTTATTCAAAGAGCCTATCGTAATTTATGAAGATGTCTCACACACCCCAGACAAGCAATTGTCAAATAGTGGAAGCCCTCATACATAAATGATTCACAGGGATGAAAGGTTAACATGACTGGAAGTCAGTGTCCGGTAGACTACTTTGCTGATACAACGGCTTCCCTCCACAACAGCTGAACACGAGCATCTGAGAAGATAAGGCTGCATTCCTCCTGTTGCTAAACTCCTTACAAAGAGCCATCCACTTTATAGTCTTTCTGTTTCACCAAGTCCACCCAGGTGGTTGCTTTATTCTGCTAGACTATCGTCTTTTTTTTTTCATATGGGTCTTAAAAACAGAAGAGGCAGGTTTGGTTTTTTTTTGTTTTTTGTTTTTGGGTCTGGTCGTGGGGCCTGAACTCTGGGCCTGGGCACTGTCCCTGAACTTCTTTTGCTCATGACCAGTACTCTACCACTTGAGCCACAGCGCCACTTCTGGCTTTTTACTTATGTGGTGCTGAGGAATCGAACCCAGGGCCTCAGGCATGCAAGGCAAGCGCTCTACCACTGAGCCACCTTCCCAGCCCCAGAAGAGGTAGTTTTTAAAGTGCCCAGAGGCATGATTCAAGACTGACAGCCAGTTTCCTAACACCTTCACAAAAACCATCTGCCTATCTGATATAAGTGTGTGTATGTCTACATGTGTGTATAATGTGTATGTTTCTGAGAGAGAGAAAGAGAGAGAGAAGGAAAAAGAAACAAACAGATTCGGAGGAGGGAAGGAGAGGGGAGGGGAGAGGAGAAAGGGAGAGGAGAAAGGGAGGGGAGAGGGGAAGAAATTATTATAAATCCCCACTGCGCTCCCCACACATTCTGTGTCTGCCTCCATCACAAAGAGGAAGGCATAATTTCCATCGTAGAATCAACACTTTAAATTATGATACTTTAATTGATCAATAAAAATTTTAACATACAGTGTTTGTCTCTTCCTCTCGTCGACACCATCTGTTCCTCAGATATATTTTGGCTCTATTTAATAGGAAGGTTTTTAAGTAAAATTGGAAACTGTATCTGATCATTCCACTGGATCCTAAGTTCTAAGGGAAAAAACTGCCCGAAAGGGCTGCGGCATCCCTCACCCCCAGGAAGAGTCGGCGCCTGCTGGCACACCAGGCTGGCTCTGTGGGTTTATCCAGAGACCCTCTGAGCCTGCCCTCCTCTCTGGAAGGCCTCAATGTGAGTGGCTGCCTCAACTGCCTTTGAAACAAGGCAATTGCTTGCTCAGTAAAAGGGAAGCAGGAAAAAACAAAACAAAACCCTAGACAGTGCAACCCCAAACCTAAAAACTGAAGCCTATGCATTTTGCCAAATTTGACATCCCATGATAAACTACAGTCCAGATTTATCCACATTATTCTTTTTACCTCTGTTCATTGTTAACAAATCCAAGTTGAATTGTGGTTTGGGAGGGAAAAAAAACTCACTCCAACCTCAGCAGAGACCATAAGACCATGCTTCCCATAAGGGCAGCCATGGCAGGAGCTCTCTAGCGGTCCCATTACTAAAGTTGTTCACACGGAAGCAAAGTGAGAAAGCCAGACAAGGCATCAGGCTGACTCCTCCGTGGGAGTTTGTTTTGATTCAATTCGGTAAGAAGAGCATTGAGACCCGCTTCTCATACATGAACATATGTTCACACTTTAAGAAGGAAAAAAATGTAGCTCTATGAAACAAGTCATTTGCTCTTTAGGCAAAAGTCCATGCAGCCAACCTTGTGCTCAATGAGCTTCTTTCCCCATTGCCATTTTTTTTTAATTAAAAGCTCTCTCTTCTTCTCTCCCAACACTGCGCCCAGAAAGCTGTGACAGACTTTGTTTTCCTTCACTCCTACTGCTTTCTCAGGTTTGCAATTCTTTCTTCTAACTAGGAAAATAATATTAGGGATTAAACTCAGGACTCAAGTGCTGTTTCTTAGCTTTTCAGCTCAAGGCTGATGCTTTATGATTTGAGCCACAGCTCATGAACATTATGCTTCCTTATTCTAAAAGTCAATGTATAGTCAGAGGAAGAAGAGAAAGATTTATAATTTTGT